GGAGATACTTTTTTTTTTTCAGTTTTTGTTTTCATGAATCCATCAGAGGCAGCTGTGTATGTCCTTTTTAGATCTTACATTTCTCTCATGAGTGCAATTTGTGCCTGCTGTTTTCACATAAGTCCACCAGAGGCCGCTGTCAACTGACTCACTGACTGACTGACTGACCAACCAATCCCTCCCCCTTCCCTAAACCCAACCAACACCAAAAGCAATGCAGAAAAAGAAAAGCCCCCTGCGGCTGCCTGATTTGTCAGCCTCACTTTAATGTAAAGTCAATTAACCACTTAAAGTTAGTAAACCCACTGCTTTTAAAGCATTTAGTTGACTACTTAAAAAAGGTGAGTAAACCTATTGCTATTGAAGTCGAGTCAACTAATCGCTTTGAAATCCTTGGGTATCCTCACCGTTTTAAGCATTGTCAACTAATCGCTATTAAAGCAAAGGTTTTTCTACCGTTTAAAGTCAACTTGTTTTAAAAGCAATGGCTCTACTGACTTTTTTTTTAAGTAAAGTCAACTAATCACTTTAAAGCCATTGAGTTTACTCTTTCTTTATTTTTTTTTTTCCAAGGAAAGTCAACTAATTGCTTTAAAATGTGAGTAAACTCATTGCTTTTAAAAGTAGTCAAATAATTGCTTTAAAAAAGGTGAGTAAACCCAATGACTTTTAAAGCAATTAGTTGACTTTACTTTTAAAAAAGGTGAGTAAACTCAATGACTTTTAAAGTAAAGTCAACCAATAGATTTAAATGCAACATGTTTACTCGCCTTTTAAATAAAACCGACTAATTGCTATAAAACCCCTAGGTTTACTCACTTTATGTAAAGTCAACTAATCGCTTTAAAAAGTTTGTAAACCCACTGCTTTTAAAGTAATATCAACTAATCACCTTGAAATCATCAGGTATCCTCACCTTTTTAAGCATCGTCAACTAATCACTTTATAGCAAAGTTTTTTCTACTTTTTAAAGTCAACTTGATTTAAAAGCAATGGCTCTACTCACCTTTTTCAAGTAAAGTCAAAGTTGCTTTAAAATTTAGGTAAGCTTATTGGTTTTTAAGTAGTCAATTAATCACTTTAAAACCATTGGGTTTACTCACTTTAGTAAAGTAAATTCAACTAATTGCATTAAAATCTGAGTAAACGCATTGCTTTTTTCAAAGTAGTCAACTAATCGCCTAAAAACGTGAGTGAACCCAATGATGTTTAAAGCGATTAGTTGAAAAAAATAATTGTTGGGTTTACTCAACTTTTTTAAAGTCAACTATTTGCTTTAAAATAGGAGTAAACTCATTGCTTATGTAAAGTCAACTAGTTTGGGGGTGGCCAACCCTGTTCCTGGAGAGCCACCTTCCTGCAGATTTCAGTTGCTACCCATATCAAACACACCTGCCCGTGATTATCACGTGGTGTTCAGGTCCTTTTTAATTGGTTCAGGTGTGTTTGATATGGGTAGCAACTGAAATCTGCAGCAAGGTGGCTCTCCAGGAACAGGGTTGGCCACCCCTGAACTAGTTGCTTTAAAATGGGAGTAAACTCATTGCTTGTTAAGTCAACTAATCACTTTAAAAATCATTGAGTTTATTCACCTTTTAGATTAAAGTCTAATTATCACTTTTTTTTTTAACCCGGGCTCATTGTGGAAACTTAGCCCCGCGGACGTTTCTGCGGAATGATATTTACGTCCCGGGAAATACGTATTCGAGAAGCCGCTGTGCGCACTTTTTCGCGTCTCGGGAGCGCGCGGTGTTCGCGCCCGCGCCATTCTCGCGCGAAAAGCCGCCGGATCGGCTAACCTCCTCCTCCTCCTCCTCCTTCCCTAAACCCGAGCGACGGTTCGCAAAAGCCGTCCAGAAAAAAAAAAAAAGCAAAAGCCCTCGTATTCGATTTCGACCGCGTTTTCGGATCCCGCCGCGTTCTCGACCTTATTTTTCGGATTCCGCTTTTTCGTCTTACCTGATTTCCGGAAACGCCACTCCCCGGACTCAATCCCGGTCGTCGTCCACCGCGGCCGGCTCCTCCTCCTCCTCCTCCTCCGGGGCCTCCGCTCTGCCGACGTAACGCTGTGAGCTAGGCGGACAAACTGGTTTCGTCGGGAAAGCCCTCCACTCGGAGGCGAGCCGTCGGCCGGCGAGGGCGAAGAGGAGGGGCGGAGCGGCGCCACACCGCCCCGCAGCGTTCGCTCAAAAAACTAAACGCGGCCTTTACGTACCTCCAGCCACGTAAATCGCGGTCTCCAGAAACGTCCGCTGGGCTACATTTCCAGAATGAGCTTGGGTTGTTTTTTTTAATCATTTGATTTACTCACCATTTTTAAAGTCATCTAATCGCTTTAAAACAATGTGTTTACTACATCCCAGCGTTGCTCGACATCCAACCCAAAGCATTTCTTATTTCCTCACATCCATCAATCTTGTCTCAAGAGCCGGCACTCTATAAATACTGCGCTCCATTGAGTTTCTGCTGTTTTCCGTGGCCGATGACAGCCAGAGAATGC